TTTAATAAGTGTATGAAGAACTGATTTCTGATCAGAAACTGCAAAGCGTAGCCATCTAAAAATAAGTTAAAACTACTAGATTAGACCCTTATTCTTTTCAAATAAATAATAATTAATAATCTGCAGTTTGACAGTTGCACTTGGTAAGACTTCTTGAAGTAGATTAACAAGATTAATAATGAACATATTCTGATCTTGTTTAGTATTTCGGTCTAAAAGCAAGATCAAAACTACCTTTTAGCTGATATAAGATTGTAAAACTTGGTTAGAGGAACATTTTTCTGCAGTAAAATGACTGCTGCTCATAAACATTAACAGATTAAATAAGCTTCGCTTTAAAACTGGTCGGGACCAGGTTAGTTTCAGAGCACTTGTTACCACAGAAACATAAGTGCTTCGTAGCTCATGCAACCGATTCAAGGCTTAATTAATTCAGGTTTACACCAAACTCCCGGGTTAATCCCTTGTCCTAGTTTCATGCAATAGGCCTCAGGAGCCTCCATATCTCTGGATTGTTTTATTTTATTTGTATTTTTCTAAACAATGACAAGCCAGAATGAAATACAAAGGAAATACATCTTGTATTTTTAAAATGTAAGGAGTAGAAGTTAAAAGTTGGCTGAAAATTAAGTACTCTGATAAAGTATAAATAATCAAAATTTATATTTAAGTAAAGTAACAAAGTGGTTGTATTTTCATTACTTGACACCTCTGATTAAACATATACCTTAACATCAATCATAGGAAAGTCTTTTATAGTTTTTTACAAAGTTTAGATTGAAACTACTGTGCTGTCTTATAATTCTGTGGACCTCACAGACTTGTGCCGCCATGTTCTCTTTGTGTTACCAAGATTGCTTTAGGTCACACGACTGTAGATTAGCCGTTATTCAGAAATAGGCCAGAGCTGGGCCCAAGGGGAAATACAACAGTGACCACTCCAAATGGTATCTTCAGTATGCACCATCTGTGTGTGCATGTGTGTGTGTAGATATGGGTATTTTTGCTTATATATCGTGCACAAGTGTGTATTTGCATTTGCATGTATGTGGATGAATGAACTTGTATAAAAGTTTGGGAGCATCTGCTAGCTTCGTATGTATTAAAAGAAGCCATGAGTGCTGTGTGTAGATGCATGTGGGGCATCTTTGAAACTGATGGCTGTTTTTACAAAAATATAAAGGGGTATAAAATTTTGTGTGTGCTTAGGCTGTTTGTATGAATCTTAAAAGAATCATGCATACACGGGGATGCTGCTGGTGTCAAGATAATTGAGCATCTTCTCTCATATTAAACTTCCCATCTCCTGAGGAATGATATGCATGAAAACATCTTTCTGAAAACACAACAAAAAGAAAAATTACAATTTCTTAAAACAAAATAATATTTTTGTTTAAAGCAATGGTTGTATAACTTGACAGACTTTGTTCCACCAGTAGGTAAAAACGGTGCAGTTTCTGCCTTTGTACGTTTCCAGACACTACCGGGGGCTTTTTTTTTTTAAATCGGTGTCAGACTACTTCTTCCCGTTCTTACTTTTAGCTTGACACACTTACAAAATATTTAAAATGTCAAAAAGTTTTTAAGGAATTTCAGGGGTGACTGTTGGGGTTCAAGTCATTCTGATGTGGAGAAACAAACCTTTCTGTCATCCTAAAGTTCACACCAGTCCCTGGGATATGCTCAAGTCTGGCCATTCAGTGATGGAATGGAAGGCGGATCATCTTCTTAAGCATTTTTTTTAAATCTCCACTTGCAGTCATCCATTCTAATGAAGCATTGTGTGATAAGATGTGATATTAATTGAGAGATTTTAAAGCCTCACTTCTCCCCTCTTCTAGAAGATGTCTTAAAGTGTCAGAGGTCACCAATAAAATTTGCTCAAGGCCAGATTTTTTTAAGCAGGCCAGTCTTTGATTAGTCATGCCTTTGATTACTAAGGCCTTTCCTTTTTAAACATGTTTTATTTAGTAATTCATTTCTGCTGTTAAAATATGAACAAAACATCTAATTATGTTATAAAAAGATTACACTTGCAACACTATCTTAAACATTGAATAGATGTCAGCATTTAGCTGAGATTGGTTAGTAAAAAAGGTTTTGTTTTTAAGACTTGTGTTTACTGTGGTTCAGAGTCTAAGTAAGGCCTCATCACACACTAAAACCCAACCATCCATAACCGTTTCTGAGCTGTGCTGTAACTGACTCCTGTATTGGATTATGTAGGATTTATTTAAAATTTGATACTTCCCAGGCTGGATGGAATTAGCTTTTGGGCTGTATGTAGCCTGGGAGCTGTCAGTTGATTGTTTTTGCTTTTTATATTTTCACTGATATTATGGAAAAATGTGCTTTGCCATTGTGGATGGCATACAAAATTGTAGAAAACACAGAAGATTTTCGTTATTAGAGAAGTTCATAGGTAGTTATATGAAGCCTAAGTGTTTTATTTAAAAAAACACTAGATGCTCACATGTGAATTGCCTCAACTCAAAAACATTTTTAGTACATCCCCAAGACATCTGTGACCAGATTGTGTAAGACCATTTTTTGTATCATTACGGTGTGCTGAAGAAGTTCTAATGTTGTTGGACTTACCCACATGAAACACCAAACTTCAGACACCAACCATGAAAACCACCAGACCTAACCTCAGCACCAGCCAGGTGTTGTACTACTCTCAACATAGGCAGCCATACTGTACCATTCCCACAGTGGTATTTTCTCATTACACTAGAGCACAATTCTTAAAGCCCACAACCAAGTGATAAATGGGAATGGTCACAAACTGCTTATTGCTTTTATTGAGGACTCTAACTTACTTATGGTTAATCATCTCTCTCTCAAAACAAAGATGGATTATATGACAAACCAGAAAAATCACAACTCATATATCACCCTCTGCCCCCTTCTTTTAAAGCAACAATGTCTCACTATTGCATTCTCTTTAACTGTTGAAATATCTGGATTTGACAGATGCTGAATAATTCATCCATGCTGAAAGAACTGTCACATCAAAGAAACACTGAGTTTTAGTTCTTTTGCAGCTGTTTCATCTGCATGTGATTGACTCTGCAGTAGTCTTTCATCTGACTGCAAGAACTCATACGACTCAGTAGAGGAAGTATGGGAATCATTAAAACCATTACTAAACTGACAATGAATTGTAATTGTAATTTTCCTTTTTAAATTTAACCTCTGATCAAATATGGATGATTCTATAGAAGCATTTTGAGTGGTGTATCAGTTTATAAGCATTTTTTATTGTAATATTCTAATTTTCTCCTTCTTAATCTGTGTTTCAGTCCTATAGAGTCCTGCCAGAACTTCTACAAAGATTTTACGCTACAGATCGACATGGCCTTCAATGTCTTCTTCCTCCTATACTTTGGCTTGCGGGTAAGCTGGCAAATATGCATGCATGCTTACACCAGCATACCTGCATACTCTCACACATACAGCCTGCAGCGTAGAAATAGTTCTGAATACAATAGCAATATGCATGCAGCAATGCTGCCATTGTTTTACACAAAATCTTCAACATTTTTTTTAAATCAAACCCAGATAATGATTTATTTTTATTTACAGATTTAGTCAAAAATGCCTTTTTTCAGGACAACTAACAACAAATGCAAACACCCAGCCTGGATCATCTATAATGCACAGAATGCCTTTTGTTTACCTGGCACTGTAATAATAATGTTGCCATCATGCCTGTCATGCCACAGCAGCAATCCAGTGGTGCAAATGTAAGCTTGACATCTTGAATGAATATACAAATAAACTCATAAGCTGCTTACGCCACCATTTGTTATCATGAATCAGCAAGTCGGGGGAATCTTTTGTCATTTTAAACAGTCTGTCAGCACTGTCATAGGCACAGCAGTTTAAAATGAAAATCTGTGATGGGGGATTTGTGTAAAATAATAACAATAATAATAATAAAAACTTAGTTGTCATGTTTAGTGCTATTCTTGTCTCTCATTTTTTTAGTTTATCGCAGCCAATGACAAGCTGTGGTTCTGGCTGGAGGTCAACTCTGTGGTCGACTTCTTCACAGTTCCTCCTGTGTTTGTCTCTGTCTACTTAAACAGAAGCTGGCTTGGTAAGTTTCATGATCCCATTCAGATGTATCTCACTCTTTGCTTCATCAGTCAGTTTCATCTCTCGCTAGCTATATTTACATGGACATAAGTAATCAGAATAAACGACCAATTGGAACAAAAATGTTTAATGTAAATACCATAATCAGAATATTCTGATCTGATTCAGCTCGATTGGAATGAATTTGCAATCTGAATGAAAGGGGTGGTTTATGCTCACTGATAATCTGAACGGCATACACGTAAACACAAATCACATTTCTGATCACATTATTCTGGTTGTGGAAAACTGTTCTGACTGCAAGGGTGCCCTGTGTCCGCCTGACATATTTCCACCCGGCTAGACGCTAATGTGTCGGGGAAGCACAACTGGTTGGTTAGCAATACAACATTTCTATTAGAAACTTTGAAAGAGCTCAAAATGACCAAATGCCTTGATGTTTGAAAGTGTAGGAACACAGAGTTATTTAGAGAAGTACATGTAAAGCCGGACAAAGAATGCCGAATGTTTGTTTATGTTCATTATGGAAGTAAAACTTGTGTTTTTTACACATTGGATAGTTTAATCTGAATGCGTTTCAACCTGATCAAAGAATCGTGTGCGTTAACCTGGCAGCTAATAATAAACACTGCTGTGTCACTTAGAGCGCTGACACTCCTGATTTTTTCCATTTCTTTTTCGCACTTTCTCAACACATAGCACTCCTTCTTTTAAAGCACCATCTTTCCCTCTGCCTCCCAGTTCCTCATCTGTCTCTCCCCTTAGTGGGAGCATGTCTCTGAGGTCCTGTTGCTTGAGGCTGCACTCAACTTTCCCTCATCATTAGAAGTGACAGGGCTAGGTTCCTCTGATGTTTCAGGCAACACAGGCACAGCAGAGTGAATGGACTAATGGGAGTGAAAGAATGGGGTTGTGGCTCCACGTGTGTGTGTGTGTTTGTGCTTTCGATTCATTAGTAATTGCTGCGTTGAAGCGCTGCACCTGCAATACCTCACAGCAGTCAATAACTATCATCTAAATGTGACCCATTCATACCCACACACACACAAATGCACATGCAGAAGCATGTGCAATCCCGGTATACACTCATGCACTCACTCATGCTTGAGCAGACTGGAAAACACCCTAACCTGCATTACATAACGACCTACTTTTCCCACTGTGTTCAGAGATCTGTGACCTAAATTATACTGCAGTAAAAAAAAAAAAGAGTTTCTTTGTAAGTGTTTTCTTTTTGTGGGCATTGCCTCTTCTGCTCTACAAAAGCACATTGATAAAACCCTGCGCTGCTTATATTTATGTTGTGTTTTAGAACGTCGTTGGAGCTCTAAGCCTGAAGACAGAATGTCAGAGTATAACACTGGGATAAATTTTGTTTAAGTGTGAGACTGAGCAGGCACAATGCAAAGAATAAATGAACAAATAAATGAACTTTTCAAGTTCTTTTGAAATATTGTTCTAATTTTTTAAGCATTTGTTGTTTTAATCCTAAATGTGTCTTCAAGACAGGACTGATGGGTGCAGTTTTCAGCTATTTTTCCAGAGTTCCCCATATGTCTACGCCGTGATTACTCATTTAGTCAGTGAAACAAGAGAAAATGCAGACAAACAAGTTTTTGCTAAAGCTCAGTTAAATTTTTTTCCCCTGTGTGATTGTTACATGTATTATGATTAAATTTTGTTGAGTAAATACTTCATTATCATTGGTAATTTTGAAAGATTTGAATGATTTATTAAGGCTATTTTACAAGGGGACATCTTAAGTTAAAAATATACAAGAAATGACACGTGTTAATTGAAGTGCATTAATTGAGGCCACTAAAACATATAGGACACATCAACATACAAAAGCACAGATCAGCATTAAAAATATTAGCCCAATATATTTTCTTCTGTTTTACCAGAACAACCTCTTAAGCAATTGTTTTACTTTTGTCTTTTAAAGGCAATATTTTGGGTCATATCTCCAGACATTTCCCAAACTCAGAGATTCTTTTTTGTTCTTTCTTTTCTTAGTTTCATGAAATGGTGCTACAACTAAAGGAGAGAAGAAGAACTGTCAATAAGAGCATGTGATGAGAGCTGCTAAGGGAACTTAGATAACCTAGTAAAGGAGTGAATACTAACATGTTTTTTTCTGTGACTGTCAATGCTTCAAAAAAGGGGAGTGTTGAGGAAAACTGCTGAATGCCGTGGCATAGAGCAGTGGTTCCCAACCTAGTTCCGTCAAAGCCCACCGTTTTTACTTCCAAGTCAAACTGAGCACCCCCCATCCCCTTTCCCAAACACACAATCAACCTTTATCTCTTCAATATAATAATAAAAGAGCAAAGTGGGTAGTTACAAGCTATTATTTGGAAATAAAAATAAAGAAGAAGAACTGAGGTACACTGAGTTTGTGATTTCTCTTATACAAACAATAATTGATATTTTTCACAACCTTGGAGCAGACAGGGTTATGGGCCACCCCTGTGCTCTCTGCTGCTCCCCCAGGGGGGATGGGCCCCACATGTTGGGAACTACTGGCATAGAATGTCGGTCTGTGACCAGCCACAGCCAGTGAGGGGGTCATTATTGAACATAAAATGAGGGCATACTTTATTATTTGCTTCATATGCTGCTTATGGGTTTTGCCTTTTAACACTTAGAAATAAAGTTTTACGTTAATAAACAGGTAAAAGTATAGAAAAGGGTCCTATACAGAGGTTATCCTCCAATCAGACAATTGCAGATTCCATCCCTAAATCCCACAGCAAGTCTAAGTATATTTGGACAAGACACTGCTTTTTATTTGCTCATTGATGTATAAGTAAGAATATGTAAGTGCTGCATTTAAAGTGTGCAAACTACAGAATAAAAAAGTCTGTGTCAGTGTGTGTGAAATTGAGTAAGGTTATAAGGTGCAATATAAGAGCAGAACATTAACCAGAGCTCCCCTTTGCATGACTTAATCTATTGCTAAGTGGTGGTGTTTTTGTCCACACGTTAAAGGCTACATGATTTGCTGCAAAACCTCGGTTATAAAATTAACAGTGTGTAGATGTGCAGTGGGAAGTGGTGTACCCTAACAGGCTGGTGATGGCTCTCAGAATACCAATGGTGTGCTGAAAGTGTTAGTATTCAGATTCTGTCAAGGACAGGAATAATAAATAGTTGCCTACAATCTGAATTAACAAGGGAATTAGGCCATGTTGTGTGTGAAAAATAAGCACAACTAATTTGTGTAAGGGTCAGAATAAAAAAGATCAAATGCTCTGAGATGGACACCTTGAAGCTTCTCTTATGAATAACATCACTACTTTCTCTTCATGTACTTCCACTAGGAAGCCAGAGAGTTTTTAATGGTTTAATCTATAATGAGTGCTACTTTCATTTAGTTAAGTATGGTCTCTTAGCAGTCTTTGTTGGAGAAGTCAGGGTGGTTGTTAAGAGTGTGTATTGTGCTCTTATTTCCCCAAGGATTATTCTTTCCATTCACCATAAGGGAACACATACATCAGTTAAATATATCATAATTAATGTACTTCCCTTTAAGCTGCATGTGAAGACCACTGAAGGTCTGTTAGTTTAAGGATCTCTAATCAGAGTTCTGCCCACTTTAATATGGTAAATTGTTTACCTTTGCACCCAATTAGTGGTGTTTTATTATTGTATTGCAGATCATTTTCCTTCTGCTTTTACTAAATGGTAATTACTTAAGAGAATACTGATTTAAGGCTCATGCCAGAGAACGTTTGGAGTTTTTCTTAAGAATAAAAGATATAATCAGGCTAAAAGCTTTATTTGTGCTACAAACATCTCATATCACAGAAAACCACAAGGTTATATTTTGACAATAAATTGCCCTATTAGTTTATTCAAAAGCATTTTTACAATCTTAATTAATCTTCATTTATTCAGTTGTAAACTGGTGAAAACCCAAGTGCTGTTGGTACTGAGATACATTATGATATTGTGTGGAGGCCAGCAGGCACAGACATTTATTCCAACCTGCTACTGCCTCCTAGTGGTGCTACGAGGTTGTTCTTGTATTTGGCAGCTGAAAGAGGCTTATGCACCTGACATGAGTGCATGTGTTTTATTTGATCCAAAATCCTTTGGCAGGAAATCTTCCCTCAAGGAAAAAAAAAAGAATCACAGGGAAAGAAAATACCTCATACACTCATGCTGTATCTCTCATAATGCATTAGATGCTGCATTACCATATAAGGGAGTAAGTTCTGAACACAAAGTAACAAAACGGTGTGGTGGGAGTTAACGCTGATATGTGTGCTTTTGAGCTTTGTGAATGAGATGTGAACCAGTGTGTTAGAGCGTGTTAAAAGCATCATATAATCTAACCCTGGCTGGGCTGACTGTCAGCATTATCCCGGATGAAGCATCCCAGACAGCTGATTGATAAAAGGTCCCTGCCAGAACATGTGACAGAGGCCGTGCTGTGGCTCGCAAAGCCTCAATGAAGTAAGAGTTGGCACAGACTGTTAAACCCTTTTTGAATGAGCATCTGATGAGCCGACACGTGTGTGAGATGGTTGGGTGTGTGTGTGTGTGTGCAGGAGGATTTTGGTGTGTGCTGAAAAAAAACCAAACAAACAAACACATGCGTAACGGTTGAGAATGTCCTTGTTTTTATGTAAACACAAGTTTAAGGTGGCTCAATTGGTAGAGCTGATGCTTCTCAGCAAGAAGGTTTCTGGCTCAGGGACCTTTCTGGGTAGAGTTTGCATGTTCTCTCTGTGCATGTGTGGGCTCTCTTCGGGTACTCCGACTTCCTCCCACAGACCAAAAACATGACTGTTAGGTTGACTGGAAACTCTAATTTGTCCCTAGGTGTGACTGAGATAGTGAATTGTTGTTTGATGGACTTGTGAACTGTCCAGGGTGTACCCCGCCCCTTGCAGTGACTGCTGGATATGGGCATCAGTGACCCCTGTGACCCTGAAAGGAAGATGCTGGTATAGATGAGAGAAGTTAAAGTATTTTTTTTCCAGATAATTGCTATTTTTTTAAGAGGACTTTTCTTAGCCCCCTCCACTATGGCCGCCTGAATTTCAGGATAAAATGTCATCCCCGACAAAAGACTTAAACACTTTGATATTTCTCACATCTTTTAGGTTGAAGTTTGCAGTGCACTGAATAATTATCCCAACCTTTTTTTATTCCTTTATGTCTCAGTCAGCTCAGCTTTTTTCTTTAATATACAGTGGCTGACAAATTTATAAACTTTAAGTAAAATTGTAAAATGTAAAATTCGAACTCAGCCTAAGAGTGGGCCTCATCTGTATGATTTTGTTTGTATTAAACACAATAGGCACCAACCCAATTCAATTTATTCATAAAGGATAATAAAATCTGCATTATTTGTGCTTTTGCCACAATAGAAAATAAATAATTTTATGTTGATTTTATATAGTAAAAGTCGCAGTAATGTCACTGCACACGAGTAGATTTTTGTTTTACCGTTACCGATTATAATCCTCAACTTTATGCACTAACATTTAGTAGGAGCATTAGCAAAATATGTGAGGAACAACTGGAAAATTACTGAGTGGATCTACAACTAATTCACTTTTGAACCAAATATATAGTCACCACAACAAGCTATTTGACTTTAACTAAAATAAAAAAAATGGTTACAACCTAATCAATTTTATATATATGGAGCTAAAATTTGGTATGGTAGTAGCTGAGAGTCTTTCCTAAGATAAACACTGACTGGGAAGGAGCTTTGTTTAAAAATCTGCATGGGAAGTGTTGGTGGTTAAGCGTTGTTCTTTTAATACTAGCTTAATATCTGCAATGCAGGAATCCAGTGTTGTTTTAGAGATGCTGTGAACAGTGAATTAAGGATTACACTTTCTGTTCCAAATCTTTCACTGCCTTGAGAGAAAATCCCCAATTTAAATGCACCATCAGCTTTAGACAGTCCAGCTTCTACACTCCTACAGCAATGATGTCACTGAGTGTCGACAGTATTTGTTTTACACACACACACACACACACACACACACACACACACACACACACAC